GTGTGTGTGTGTGTGTGTGTGTGTGTGTGTGTGTGTGTGTCTGTCTGTATGCGTGTGTGTGCATGCGTGTGTATTTATGTGTGTGTTCCCTTTGCAGGCTGCCTGTCCATTGACTGCTTTTAACGCTCTGCAATAACCTCGCTCCCAAAGGCTTTCACAATGTCCTTATTTCTTTAAACAGCTGCCTGCTTTTAACCACTGAGGAAATGAAGCTGATGCATTCATGGTTTTTTAGTTTTTGATGTCACTGACAGCAGGCAGATTGACCGGCTTGATTTTAAAGGCAGGGGATGAAAAGAAGGACAAACTGTGACCTCCAGTTGTTGATTATCACAAAAAATCAATGATCAGGAAGCTGGAAACACTCTCCTTGTTTATTTCCTGTCCCTCTGATGATAATAATACAAAAAATGATTATAAAGCTTTATTTATATAGCACTTTTTATACAACACATGCAGATCATGCTTTACCAAATGACACATCACAAGTTAAAAATAAACAACAAGAAACTCCCTGCGGCAAAATATAACATGTTATCAGGTTAAGAGACACAAGGAGGTAAAATGTATGATAATAAAAATGAAATAAATAATGGTTTCTCTCTGACAGATAAGACACAAGACGACTGAGTCGATGCAACAATATAACATAAAAAAAAACGTAAAACAAAGTGAACATATATGGAGGCGTGTGGCGCAGTGGGTTAGTGCGTTGGCGATCGGATCAGGGGGATCAGAGGATCACAGGTTCAAACCCCACTGCAGTCAGCATGTCGTTGTGTCCCTGAGAGTAATGTAATGTAATGCGTGAGACTGACGTTACTTCAGGCTCATCAGTACCATTCGCTCTGATGAGAGATGACAAGCTGTTCACATCCTTCTCCCTGTCCTCACATATCATCGAGATACCCGAGTCCCAAAGCATCAGAGGTCAGAGGTCGAGGGTCGTTTACAGAATATGATGCTTCTGCTCCCCCGAAACTGAGGTCACAAAGAGCCAGTCGGGGGATTGCATCTGCGCCTTAACGCTGAACATCCAACAACTAACACCCGCTGCTGATTTAAGCAAAACAAACTTCTGCTGTGTGTGCATTTCAGAGAGTGTTTTTCAAAATACACAATGAAAAAATGTAATGACGAGATTTTAAGTACGATACATTTATAAGAACATGCTAATGAAATAAACTGTAAAAATCTGTTGAATTATTCAATTAATTCAGTTTTTCTGAGCTTCAATTTGATAAATATGTTGTGTAATTTGATTTATAATCAATAATTATGTAGAATACAGTTATTTTCTGTATATTCAAAGAATATCTGTCTGAAATCAACGTGCATTACAGAGGACATGTTCAGGTTCATATCAGTATGTAGTGTCTCTACTTTAAAGAGTCCTCTCCTGCTGATGTTCAGGTGTATATCAGTATGTAGTGTCTCTACTTTAAAGAGTCCTCTCCTGCTGATGTTCAGGTGTATATCAGTATGTAGTGTCTCTACTTTAAAGAGTCCTCTCCTGCTGATGTTCAGGTGTATATCAGTATGTAGTGTCTCTACTTTAAAGAGTCCTCTCCTGCTGATGTTCAGGTGTATATCAGTATGTAGTGTCTCTACTTTAAAGAGTCCTCTCCTGCTGATGTTCAGGTGTATATCAGTATGTAGTGTCTCTACTTTAAAGAGTCCTCTCCTGCTGATGTTCAGGTGTATATCAGTATGTAGTGTCTCTACTTTAAAGAGTCCTCTCCTGCTGATGTTCAGGTGTATATCAGTATGTAGTGTCTCTACTTTAAAGAGTCCTCTCCTGCTGATGTTCAGGTGTATATCAGTATGTAGTGTCTCTACTTTAAAGAGTCCTCTCCTGCTGATGTTCAGGTGTATATAAATATGTAGTGTCTCTACTTTAAAGAGTCCTCTCCTGCTGATGTTCAGGTGTATATCTGTATGTAGTGTCTCTACATGTCTCCGTGCTTTAATGTTCAAAAAGCTCTTTATTGTTCTCATACTGTCTGTGCTGCAGCACCTCTTTTCACCCTCTGTCTGAAACCTGAGCCCAGTCTGCTCTGATTGGTTAGCTGGCTGGCTCTGTTGTGATTGGTCAACCGCTTAGAGATGTCACGCCCCTTAGTTTATAACGCACAATGTGTTGGAGCGCTAGCCAATAGAGCGCAAGTGTTACATAGGGATGTCACTGTAACAAAATAGAAGTAATTAAAAAGTACAATATCCTATTAAATTACAATAACTAAGGACAGGTAAGAAGGTAAAGTCAAATATCCAATACATTTAAATAAAAACAAAATTAGGATATTTTTATAAACATAAGAAGCTAAAGTAAAATATCCAATGAAATAAAATACATTAAAGAAAAAGTTAAAAGGTCCTAAATTGTGCAATCAAACACTTTTTTGACACACTTCGGAGGCAGTTAAATGTTCTGATCTGGTGTTTCCATTCGTGCCGTGTTGCCAGAGCAATCAGCTGACAAGGATCTGGATGTGTTGACAGCAGGAACACACCTCCACCTCCCGGTAAATAAAGAGGCAGCGGCTGTAATCTCTCCACGCTATCCACACACAGGATCTTCCCTCTGGAAACCTCCACCCTGACGGTTCCTCCACTTTCTTTTTTTATTCTTAACTGTTCGATCTTGCAAGACACACCGGTTCCATCTCCAGTCCATCTCTCTCCTTATCGATTGAGCCTTAGGATTTTTTTTACAGCAGCCTCTCTAAATGTTGCTCCATTCTGCTCGTTCAACTTAAAACCCCCCGGAGACAAAACCGCAGCTGATAAGAGCCCGGCAGAAAGTCAGTGTTCGCTGCGTTCAGTTCTGTTTATCAGAGGAAAACACTGTAAAAGTTTTCCTATCTCTTTTTCAGATTATTCTGAAAGGTGTGCAGCAGCAAGCGAGATAGTCTCATGGTGATGAAGATCGAAAAGGTTGCAAAACAAGAAAAGACAACTGAGAGAAAAAGTGGAAATAAAGTACCTCAAATTCTGTTTGAAGCAAAGTATTAAAGAGTCTCTTTTATGCTCTTTTGGGGTTTTCCTTTCATGTTGTGTATTATATAGGTTTCTGTGCATATTCCACAAAGGTCCCTGTGTTCTGCCTGAAACGCCTCCATTGGACTCCTTTGTTTACTTCCTGAAAATGGTGACATCACTTTGTAACACTCGCGCTACTATTGGCTAGCGCCAACATTCGGGGCTTAGCCCACAGTGGCGGCGGCCGCGGCGCTACAGTGGAATTTTCCACTGCAACACTCCTCACACGCACAGTACACCCGCGACTGTTACAATGAAGGCTCCATAATCAGCTCACGGCATATAGGCAGGGGTAAAGTGCTATTTTTTTATGAGTGGGGGGCGGACCTCACCTCCTCTAGGGGGGTCCGGGGGGATGCTCCCCCGGGAAGATTTTTTTTAAATATTGAATTTAAAAGCATCAATCTGGTGCACTTTGAGAGCAACATTAAGAGATCTATGGATACATCTCTCAACACCCAGATGAAACAGAACTGTAAACAGATGTTCTTTTTCTTTATGGATATTTTACAAATCACCCTTTTAAACTCTATTCTTGTTTTACTGCCATATAGGCTATAATGAAGATATGAAGGTGTGCCGCAGAAATAATCTTTTGAATAATTTGTGACCAAACCGTTTGAGACCCACTGAGATAACGGCGCATTCACACCAGCCTTTTATAGTCCGGTTGATTCTAACCCTGGTGCGTTTAGCCGCTTGGTGCGGTTTGTTTGGGTCGATGTGAACGCAGTCCGAGACCTCTGAAGTGAACTAAACAACCGGACTCTGGTCCGCTAAAATAGGTGGTCTCAGGACTCTTTAAAGTAGAGACACTACATACTGATATACACCTGAACATCAGCAGGAGAGGACTCTTTAAAGTAGAGACACTACATACTGATATACACCTGAACATCAGCAGGAGAGGACTCTTTAAAGTAGAGACACTACATACTGATATACACCTGAACATCAGCAGGAGAGGACTCTTTAAAGTAGAGACACTACATACTGATATACACCTGAACATCAGCAGGAGAGACATCAGCAGGAGAGGACTCTTTAAAGTAGAGACACTACATACTGATATACACCTGAACATCAGCAGGAGAGGACTCTTTAAAGTAGAGACACTACAAACTGATATACACCTGAACATCAGCAGGAGAGGACTCTTTAAAGTAGAGACACTACATACTGATATACACCTGAACATCAGCAGGAGAGGACTCTTTAAAGTAGAGACACTACAAACTGATATAGGTCAAATATCCTCTGCTTGTATTAACCAGAAACCTTTTTAGCATCCTAAACTCAACCAATAAAAATAATCCCACTGACTTCGAGACGTGGGAACAGGAAGTGCGAAATTGCTGACTCTTTAC